GCATCAGAAGCCCAGGTGCTGAAGCCAAGGGCAGGGGAAAGAGAATCAATAGTTACAATGGGTTTGATGTGCCAGGCAGTGTGCCGGGAACCCCACACATGGCATCTAATTAAATTCTTATAGCACACTTCTAGGAGAATAGAGAGACACAGAAAGGTTAATTGACTTGCCTGAAATCATTCAGTTTTTAAGTTTTGTAATCACATTTGAAAGCTGACCCTTCCAGGCTCGCAGCACTTGGCATTGTGAGCGCTTCTGCAAACATCTTGCCCACGTCCTCATGGGTGTGGAGAATGACCTATCCCACCCTAAAGCAGGTGCCTTGACCACTCACGCTACAGCAATGCTCTAATTGTGCTAATTAAAGCTATTCATACAAAGGCCAGTATGCCTGTCCTTACGAGACGTGACATGCTGTTTCCAGACGGCAATACTTGAGCATGAAGGGATGTAAGCAAGTGAGTTGTCATTGTGACCAGCACCGGGTCAGTATAAATAAACTCAACTTGCTGACTCTGGAAACACTGGATATCGCTCTGGGCATTCTAGAAACGGCCTTGTGGTTATAAACCACAGCCTTAGGAATTTCCAAAGTCCTTTTGAGTTCCCCAACTTTAATTCGCTAGGCCTTTTTTCATCCACCCCATCCTCAGGGTTGATCTAAAAAGTTCTGAAGTTGCAAAGAAGCACAGAGCTCAGCCCTAATCTCCATGGAGAGGCCCCAGAGTTCCTGTTGGCTTTTCCTCAAGCCCATTTCCCTACGTGTTTTTACATAATAAATATTCTATGTGAACTCATAGTGTTTTGTCCCTTACATTTTATCCCAGGAATCCTTGTAACCCTTCTAACACTGCTGTGGTAGGCGAAGACCTGGATGTTGTCTTCTCTTCTTGAGACGATGGCTCTTTAATCTCTTTATAATATTTGGTTAAAGCATTGCAGCTTCAATTCTTTAGTGCGATAAATCACCACATATAAAACATTTCCCCAGGACGGACTGTGAACAGCAGAAGAGACTCATAAGCTTTTCCCACGTCATCTCAATTTTTGATTATGGACCATATTGCTGACTAGGGCTATTTCTCTGAGCATTTTTAACATGAACACAAGGACACAGCATATCTATCATATGTGTACATGAACACAAGGACACAGCATATCTAACGCATGTGTACATAAACACAAGGACGCAGCATATCTAACGCATGTGTACATAAACACAAGGACGCAGCATATCTAACGCATGTGTACATAAACACAAGGACGCAGCATATCTATCACATGTGTACATGAACACAAGGACGCAGCATATCTATCACATGTGTACATGAACACAAGGACACAGCATATCTATCACATGTGTACATAAACACAAGGACACAGCATATCTAACACGTGTGTACTCAAGGATGTTCTCTTGCTGCTTTTACATGTGACTTCTCATGTAAGTGTTTCACTCTAACTCTTCCTTATTCTCTGTAACCCAGTGTCACAGAGGAAATTTTAGTTATTCAGAAACGTGGGTATTTTGTGTTTGTGGAGGGTCATTTGTGAATCTCACAAAACAGTATGTATAGATTTATTTTACAATGAAAATGATTTGCTTCATGGCTTATATCTGTGTGGGGGTGAATTTCTTTGATCCCAACTAAGAATATGATATTTCCTTGTCTCTGTCTTTGCTATTAAAATCCTTCCTCATTTGGCACAGCCATAACTGATGGGAACGCCATCACAAGCCAGTACAGCTGCTTGACGAAGATCCAGGAATCTGAGTCGTATTACGGCCACCAAGTCATCTTTGGTTTTCATGTCCACCTGTTACATACTTAGGGGGCTTTTAATATTTATACAATTTGGGGATACTAGATTGACGGGAAATTTCTCATGAATCATTCATGCCTTCTCCCAGGAGTACTGCTGTACTGTGCACCATGTGTGTGCAGTTCCTGCAGAGGGCAGAAGAGGGCACAGGATCCCTTAAAACTGGAACTGCAGAGGGTTACGAGCCAGCATGTGGGTGATGGGAACTAAACCTGGGTCCTCTGCAAAAGCAGGTTAGTGCCCCTAACCTGCCGAACCATCTGTCTAGCCTCTAATTATTACATTTTTAAAGATATATTATTAATAGCACTGAATTGAATTTTAGGGAGCTCCTAGCCTATAGTGATGCCGGCACAGACTTCACCCTGCTCTTCCACTCTCTACGGCACTTATGAAATTACTCTTCTCCAGCCAGAGAACCTCTCAACTGTGGTTAACCCTGTGTGCATGTCTCTTTCTGTTTCATGGGGACTATGCTTCTTAGTATGCTATTAAGTATCAAACTGATTTATTGAGCCTTTTTTGCTGTAGATCGTTATCTTGAAAGGCTTGCTGTTCCTTGGTATATTCAGTATGGATGTGGTATATTCGCATCCATTCACGCATCCCTCTCGAACATGGGTAGATCCCATAGAGGTTTTGCCCTGCATGATGAAGGGGAGCTTTCTCCAGCCCCCAGTAACACTATGTGTGCTATCCCCACTCCTAGACCCATCTGTGTCACTAAAAAGTAGCATCTTATTTATGTGTGTAAGTGTTCACATGTTTGGGGTTATGTGTACCATGTACCTGCAAGTGCCCACAGAGGCCTGGTGGGGCTTCAGATTCTCAGGAGCTGGGGTTGCAGGTGGCTATGAGCAGTCTGATGTGGCTGCTGGGAACTGAACCCAGGCCCTTTGCAGGGGCTGTCAGAACTATTAACCATTGAGTCATCTACTCTGCCAGGTCTATATCAGCTTTAGAAATATCTCTATCTTTCTTTCAAAGCCTTTACTTCCTTCTTCTTCTTCTTTTAACGATCAAGTTCTCAAACATCCTTTCTACCAGGCTGAATTCCACCCTGGCTGCGCAGAGGCCTTGGTGCAGCAATTGTGTGAGAGCAATCTTTGTCATCTGAATCTCTAATTTATAAAACACAGATATCGTCGGCTCCCGATGCCGTGGGTAGTCATGCTTAATTATTGTTTTTACCTCATTTCCCACTAATGTGTTTAGGGGAAGTGATTATTGGAGATGGGCTTGAAACATAAAGATGCCATTTGAGAGACAGATGGTTCACGGCAACACAGGAGCCACAAATATCAGCAGGAAAATGGAACTATGCTCCATGCGGAATGCAGGTGCGTGGGACCCCATGTTTGTGCATGTGCATGTGTCCCACTGTGGCTGGAGGTGCAGGTGGCCATGGTCCCACACGTGAATATAGGATCAGCATGCAGGGTCCAATATTGAAGCAAAACAATGAACATTATGAAATGACAAACTCCATGGATCTCTACATGAATAATGTTCCCTTTCTACACATTAAAGTAGCTTGGCCACTCAAACCCATTGCTCTCTTAAGGATGCTCAGTTTATAGGAAGTTGGCAACTGTCTTTCACTGGTATTAATGTCTATGATTGGAGGCAGACACAGTGGTTGTAGAAGGAGGGTTAGGTGCCCAAACTTACCCCTGTTCCCTCCTATCTCCAATGGTCTTCCATTTATCTTGTCTACGATATGACAAACCTGACCACTACTCTAGTCTTTCTGTGAATATGAGCGGTGTGCAGCAGGATGTGGTATCGCCATCGGCACTGCAAGCACGCATCCAGCAGGGACAAGTCCAGCAGTGTATATGAGGCCATGCAAGGGGGTCGTGAAGGATTTTACGACACCCTGGGGTGTCATCTTGAGAGGGAGCTGTTGTCTGAGTCTAGGCTGCTCCAAGGGTTGCATTTCCATCTTTGGAATTCAAGCAGCCACCTTGCAAATTTAGCGTGGCTCAGTAGAGTGAGTGTGTCCTACACATGGTGAGCACTATGCAGAAGACAGGCATTACTGCAGAAGATGGGCATTGTAACGCTGAGCAAAGATTCGTGAAGAGTAGTACCATGAGGGCTGGAGAGATGGCCACATTGTTAAGAGCACTTGCTGCTCTTGCAGAGGACCTGAGTTCAGTTCCCAGCACCCACATTGGTGGCTCACAACTGCGTCTAACTCCAGTTCAGGAGATCTAATGTCCTTTTCTGACCTCCAAAAGCTCCTGAAAGCACACAGTACACATATACTCACTCAGGCAAAACACTCATATGTATAAACAAAAGCAAATATAAATGGTTTTTAAAAGAAAAATACCATGAAGCAGTCTCATTGTGATAACTACTAGATAAGTCGATAAAGTACTTAAGAATGAACTTAACCCAGGAAATAAAAGCCTTCTAGAAAGCAAACCTTTAAATTCCAAATAAAACACAAACAGAAAGAAAGCCCTTCTAAAGTCATGGATTGGAAGAATTAGTCTTGTTAAAATGTCCATTTACTACTAATAGCTCACAGAGTCTATAAAACTTTCATCAAAGTACCAATGGTGTTCTTCACAAAACTGGAGAAACGCACCCTAAAATCTGAATGCAACCACAAAACCCTTGAGCAGTCAGAGCAATTTTGAGCTGAAAGAACAAAGGGAGAGGGGTCACGTTGACTAACTTCAGAATATGCTACAAAGTTGCAGCCACCAAAACAGCAGGATATAGGCCTCAAACAGACACAGAATAGAGAATACAGGAACTCACAGCCGCAGCTGGTTCCCGGCAAAACCACAAAATAACACACATAGAAAAAACCAGCAGCTTCAATGAACAGTATTGGACAATCTGGATACTCATGAATCACAGATACTTGATTCCTCTAAGAACCAGAACCCAAATGTCAGCCAGGAAATTCCAAAACGACTTAAAGAAAATGTGTGCACAACATCTACAGACACTGGTTCCTCGGGAGAACCTCAAAAGACGGGAAAGAGAACAAAGCAAAACCTGACAAACTGCAAGGAACTAAAGGCTCATAGGCTGAAAGACAGAGATCAAGCGCCCCAAGAGCCCGCCTGAAGGCGTAAGTCACAAACAATCCCACACCAGTTTGGAATTATGACTAATAGGAAGAATGGTTATTTATTTAAGGGGAAAAAACTTACAGATCACCGTCCCAGACAACAGCCCTCTGCGCAATCAGGAAGGGAGCCTAGTCACTGGAATCGGAGCCGGAAGCCAGAGAGCACGAGGGAAGTGGCTGCTTTTTTAAAGGGAGAGAGACCACGCCCCAATGGATTGGTATCTCAGCGGCTATTGGCTGAAGGAGCTCCCGCAACACCCGCCCACAGTGGTAGGAGCCCCAAGAGTTCGCCCACAGAGGTCAGTAGCAGGAAAAGCCTGCCCCCAGTGCTCAGTGGCCCCAAGAGCCCGCCCAAGTGGTCAGTGGTCTGAAGAGCCTTCCCACAACACGGGAAGGTGTTTGGCAGCTCTCCACCTCAAAAGAAGGAACTCAAATAACAATAAATACATGAAAATGTTCAGGAGTATTAGCCACTCAGTAGCTTCCAATTAGAACAGCAATTACAAAAACAAAATAAAAAAAAAAAACATACCAAACGAAACCCAATGAAAACAAAACAACAGTAAAAAAAAAACATAAATTCTAAGAAGGTTGTATAGGAAAAAGAGTTTTATGACTATTGATAGGGTTATGAATTAGTATCACTGCAATGGAGAATAGTATACAAATTCCTCAATTCAGTGGCAGTAGATCTAAGACATGCTTCAGCTACTCTCAGAGAAATTCTTAAAGGAAATGAAATGAACATACCGAGATATACACACACTCATGTTTATCGCCAGGTTTTGTACTAGCTGAAACAGAATCAGCCTCGGTGGCCACCAATATGAGTAGGTAAGATGTGCAAAGACAAAGACATCCCACCATTCCCAGCACAGTGGCTCATCGCGTTAAGTGAAACAAGCCTCCTGCACAGAGGACTCTGAGGTTCCTGTTCGCTTTCTCTCGGGAGGTTAAAGAAAAATGCCAACTGCTACATAGAGCTGGGAGGGTAAAGGGGGAAGAAGGGCAGGAAACAAGAGGTTAGGATTTGATCACTGCATACTGTTTACGTGCATGGAAATATCACACTGAATCTCATTAATATGTGCAATTGATATATGTTAATTACATTTTAAAAGAAACCAAGATTCTCAAGGTTCTGGACTCAAAGCCTCACCCAGGGCATTCTGTGAATCCACACTCCCGTGCAGGAGGAAGGTGAAGGGCCTCTGGGGAGCTGTGGGCAGAAGAGACAGGCGAGCTTCTGGGTGGGGGGCAGAACAGAACCCTCAGCAGACAGGGTTTGTGCTGCGGTGACAGAGGAAGGCTGGGCTATTTATAAAGAGCAGACATGTTTATTTCTCACTGTTTGGGAGGCTGAGAAGTATACTTCTTGGAGCCGGGAGACTCACTCTCTGCTTCCACATGGAGTCTTCTGCCACAAACCCTACAGAAAAGGAACACTATGTCCTCATACAGATGGCTGGGAAGAGATAAGCTTGCTTTCGCGGCCTTTTTGTTTTTTTGTTTGTTTGTTTGGTTGGTTTGGTTTGGTTTTGGGGGGACAGGGTTTCTCTGTAGCTTTGGAGTCTGCCCTGGAACTAGCTCTTACAGACCAGGCTGGCCTCGAACTCAGAGATCCACTCAGAGATCCGCCCGCCTCTACCTCTTTAGTGCTGGGATTAAAGGCGTGCACCCCCACAGCCCAGCCCCTTTGTTTAACAGTGTCAATCTCTGCGCAAAGGCCCTGTCCTTGGGAACTAAACACCTCCCACCAGGCCTCACTCCTAACGCTCTTGCTCAGGGCAAACTTTGCAGCACACACACAGATGTTGAGGGGCCCATTCAGACAACAGCAGAAGGCCAGGAGATGGGGAGGAGATGGGGATGATTGGGACCCAACAGCAGCACGGGGGGGGGGGGGGGGGGGGGGGGGGGGGGGGGGGGGGGGGGGGGGGGGGGGGGGGGGGGGGGGGGGGGGGGGGGGGGCAGGAGGCGTGGCCTGGCAGCAGGCTGGGAGCTCCAGGAGAGGCTTCGTTTTGAAGCTGGCATGGGCTAGAACAGAACTAAGGCCGGATGAGATAATCTGGTTCTACTCGTTCAGTCCGGATGCAGTAGGCCGCATAGGGCTGGGGAGGGCTTGGAGACGGGACAACTGAAGAGGAGTGGGAGCAACATTAAGGAAGCTGTGGCCTTGGTCCAGGCCAGAAGAGCTCAGCTCTGAGCAGGGAGGGACATCTTCTGAGAGCATAAGCCAACCTTCTTCCCCAGTCGACGTGACCACACATCCACAGTGCCCACGGCCCAAAGCGTACAGATGTGCAGAGCCTCGTTGTGACCACTCCTAGCACTCAATTCTAATAAACTCTGGAAGAAAAACATGAGTTCAGTCTTATGTCCATGGGGTTGACGATGTTCCTGCCCACCTAAAATAATCCAGCATCTTCTTACATCGTGGCTTCACTTTCATTTGACAACACGATTGTTTGCTTGTGTGGCTAAATCATGCAGAGAGAAACCCAATGAGTCCCATTGGAAAGGGGCTCTGTGTACTGGCTACTAGTTTAATATTCCTTCAGCGGACACCCCACCTGGGAGGGGAACCATTTCAAAACCCGACAGAGCCTGATTGTTTAAGTAGACTAAGGGCCCACAGTGCCCTCTTCTGGTATGCTGGAGGTACAGCATCTTTTGAGGGCTTTTCCTACTGGAAATGATGGATAGTTGCGGATGTCAGTTTTCTCTTAGACATTGAAATGAATTAATCATTTGGGTCCAGTGGTTGCCATTGAAATGGGGATCAAGGAGGCAGCTAATTTTTGCTGGACAGCATAAAGGAGACAGGTGAAGTATTAAGCAAAAGAAATGGATAGGAAGTCTAAATTTGATAACTGAAATTAGGCTGTGTCAGCATCTCTCTCTCTCTCTCTCTCTCTCTCTCTCTCTCTCTCTCTCTCTCTCTCTCTCTCACACACACACACACACACACACACTACATGTCTGTGCTCACCCAGAAGCCTATGGAAGCACTGGAAATAACAGGGCAGTCAGAGCATTTGAACGTGACAGAGTCTCAGGTCTCCTCATGTGAAATTCTCTCACAGGAGTGTATGTGACATGAATGCTATCGGGGGTATTAACAAATACCAAGAATTGTAAACAAAGGGCACAGACCTTTGACCCAACACCATTACTTTTAGAGTCTATGCTAAGGGGGAAACCCAAACGGTGTAAAAGTTGTGTATATAAAAGATTCTCAGGCTAAGTAGACGACTCGGCGGGTAAGAGGACTTGTAGAACAAATAAGAGGACCTGAGTTCAAGTCTCCCCTGCAAACAAATGAGTCATGCTTCGTGTGACTGGCACCCAGCACTGCAAGATGAGACAAGAGGACGGCAAGAGTTTGCTGGCCAGCATGCCTAGCCAAAACCTCCGACTACAGATTCTTCAGTGAGAAGTTCTGCCTCAAGAGAGCAAGATGGAAGTGTCAGAGGGCATCAACCCCCTCTGCCAGCTTCTTTGTGCATGCCTGCGGGTGTGCACATGTGCACATGCATGCATGCAACATGCATACAATATGCAGGCCTACATAGCAAGGAAGGAACTTAGGAATAATCCCATTTGAATGCCCCGAAATGGAGAGAGTGCATAAATGGTATCTCTATGTCTAGTCTACGCTTTTGTGGTGCTGTTGAAAGACAAAGCTATAGAAGATTTTAATTAGGTCAAAATGTGTATGATGTTAAAAGGAAGGCTGTGCATGTCAAAATGTACAAGAGATATGTGGGGGGAAAAGTAGAAACCTCTTTGAAATATTAAACAAAATTAAAAATGACAGCAGATCAAATCAGCCGGGAAAGAATGTGACTAAATTACTTTCACAAACATTTGATAGAAATTAAAGTGTGTAAGGTTACTCTGGACAGCCTTTCGGGAGAATTTGTTTAAAAGTTTTTACTGTCTGTATGATTTTAACTGGGGTGCTCACCCCAGGGGAAAGGCTGGTTATATGACCTCCCTAACAGGAGAATAAGGATCGTCACTAAAACATTTTGGGAAATTAGTGGTAAGCACTCAGTGGTCATCTACTATGTGCTAGGTACTTTGCCAAGCACCCAGAGGCTAGTGAACGTTCCCCGCTCTCCAGGGACTGATCAGCAGTTTTCATGATCAAACGAAGACACCAACACCAGAGATGTGTGTGACTTCAGCATGTCCCCACAAACTGTCATGGGAAAGAGTCACCGCCGAACAGTTAAGAACCAACTTCCTCGGTTTTCAAAATGGCGGCAGCGATGGATGTGGATACCCCCAGCGGCACCAACAGCGGCGCGGGCAAGAAGCGCTTTGAAGTGAAAAAGTGGAATGCGGTAGCCCTCTGGGCCTGGGATATTGCAGTTGATAACTGTGCCATCTGCAGGAACCACATTATGGATCTTTGCATTGAATGTCTGGCCAAGCAGGCGTCTGCTACTTCTGAAGAGTGTACTGTTGCGTGGGGAGTCTGTAACCATGTTTTTCATTTCCACCGCGTCTCTCGATGGCTCAAAACGAGGCAGGTATGGGCACTAGAAAAGACGCTCCCTAAAACTTACCCGTGTGTTACTCGTGTAGCGACTCCCTTCCTGTTAATTATAAATTACACAGAACTATGGTTTTTTTCTTTCTTTTGTCTTCGGTGTTTGCTGTTCCCACAGCCATATTGTATTTTGTGTCAAATAAAGTCGTTAAGTTCAAAAAAAAAAAAAAAAAAAAAAAGAACCAACTACCTCAACAGAGACATTTGGGACACACTCCCAGGCATTCCATGGCTCTCCAGCAAAGCAGGCCCATCCAACCCTCCACAACCCTCCCTGTCTCAAGGGTGAGGTCAGCAGTCACACTCAAGACTGTGAAAGAGGAGCTAGGCTGATGGACTTGGAAAGAAACCTGTCGTTAGAAGATTCCCATTCTAATACGACCACACGAGGCACTGAGCAAGTGCCCAGGCCAGGCAGTAACTGCCAACCTAATTAGGAGGCAAAAAGAGAAAGCCAGAAAACAGAATGATCTCCCATGCTCTTGGGTAGGCGGAATTAGCATAGTGAAAATGGCAGTCTTACCAAAAGCAATCTACAGATTCAATGCAAAGCCCATCCAAATTCCAGCAAAATTCTTTACAGACTTCGAAAGA